CTAAGTACAGCTATGAAATGATAGAGTCACAAAACTTGAGAAGGTCTTCAACGGCCTTCTGGTCTACCACACACTAGACGGCATCCTTACTATAACCTCCTTGTCATACCAAGTAGCTGTCCAGCTCTTGCTTGAAGACCTCCACCTTCTGAGGTAGCTCATTCCACTTGAGGAAACTGAATATTAGGATGATTTTCCTGACATGAAGCCTAAATGAGCCTTTTGGCAACTTCAACCTGCTGGTCCTACCCTCTGGGGCTAAACAGAGCCCAATTCCTCTTTCGCATGACAGCCCTTTAGATATTTGAAGACAGGTCTCGTGCCCCTGGGTTTTTCCTTACCCAGGCTGACCTTGCCCAGCTTTTTCAACATTCTCATACGACAAGGACTCATGGACTTAAACCTTTCACCATTCTGGTTGTTTTCCTCTATATACTTCAATGTCCTTCTTACACCACTCACACAATACTCTAGGTGTGGACAAGGGCAGAGTGCATCTCCTGCTCCTAGAATCTCTGCCCACCTTAAGGCATTCCAAGATCTCATTAGCTTTTTTGGCTACCCCATCACACTGCTTGCTGACTCCCGTTGAGCTTGGAGTCCACTGAAACACCCAGATCTATTTCAGAACCACTGTTGTCTAACCATGCACCTAATACTTGTGACATTGCTTTTTTTGAACCCAAGTGCACAATTTTACTTTCATCCCTAATGAATTTTACATTATTAGATTTAACCCAATGCTCTAACCCATCAAAATGCTTTTGAATCCTGACTCTGTCTTGCATAGTGTGAGCTATCCCACCCAGCTTTATGACATCGGCAAGTTTGATGAGTATCCCACCTATACCTTTAATCAATTAATTGATTATAACCATTAGACAGCACAAGGTAAGCACAGATGCCTGGTGTACTGCCCTGGAGACCTACCACGTTGACACTGAACCATGAACATGATTCTAGCCTACCTGGCCAGACTGTACATCACTCCCCTATGAGTCTGGGCACCCAAACATTTCTGAATCTATCTGATGGTATTCCTGTCTGATCCACATCTTTCCTTTCTCACTGTCTAAAAAGGTGATGAGGTTAACCTGAACTGCCCTTGAGGAACTGAGAATACAGACCTGAAATCAAATAAAATTGAACTTAAAAATAAATGGTGATATAAAATTAAAAGCGATAAAGTAAGATAAAGTGGAGACGGACAAAAAGATAAAATAAAAGGAGGCAACTGAATGAGATGGCTTCTAAGGACCCCTCCCCCAACTCTATAATCAAAGACAGGAAGAGGTGGGGAGGGAGTGAGGGAGGAGGGGAGAGAGCGAGAGGGGGGGAAAGAGAGAGAGAAAGAGGACAGAGAAAAGAGAGGAGAAAGAGATGGAGAGAGAAAAGGAGAGGGGGAGGGAGGGACAGAAGTAGGGAGGGAGAGGTGGGGAGAGAAAGAAAGAGAGAGAGAGAGAGATATTGATTGGGTTGGGAAAAGCTACAAAGAGCTGGGATAATTGCAAACACCAGGGGACCCACAGCACCTCTGCAGGAGTGAAGAAGAGGAGCAGCACTGTGAAGCATGTCTTGAAGGATATGTCTTGAGCTGAACGTTGAAGGGAATTAGAGGTCAAGAAGGAGAACATTCTAGGACAATTAAGGCAAGATGAGTGGAATGCTTCCTGGAAACCAGCAGTAGTGGTGACAGTGGCTGTCCCCTAGATTTTAGGACAAAATTGGGGAACTGAGACTATTAATGTGTAAAATACCATATAGGTGTTAGCAATTATTATTAAATGTATTATTATTGTTGTTGTTATCCTTATTTTGAAAATTTCGGAAAGCTAGAGGCACAGATCATTTGTATAATGCCAGCAACTTCCCATCTAGGCTATTTCCCTTGCATTGGGTGCTGTAAACTAAATGCTAAACAGAAGGAAGCTGATGCAAAGCCGAAGCCTTTCTCTGATGCTGCCTCTGTGGCTCTGCCTGGTTTCAGCTCCATGGAACAAGGTCTCCTGTAGTTTCACTCCTCCTGCTCTGCTTCCCTGCCTCCTTCTATGTGTTGTCTCCTCCCGTTAGATTGCAGGCTCCTTGAAGGCAGGAACTCTCTTTCCGATAATTGTATTCTTGGGGCTTAGCACATTGCCTGGCATGTAGCAGGTGCTTAATAAATGTCTCTTGGATTAGATTGGTTCCTTTCCAATTCTACATCTGTGTATGGTCTATAGTCCTATGATCCCAAGTACGAGTTCAGAGATGGACTGTTTCTTATCTGAACTAGAAAAAGCTCATCCCCAAGTTGGCTACATCAGGTGGGATGAATTTTCATCCACAGCATTGCATGACACTATAGAAGGATTGTGATCTGTTCCGGGAGAGGGACATTCCCACAGCACTGACCACACGTCCTTGAAATTCTTCTGAAAACACTCTTTGAAAGAATTTAACCAATGTTTGTAGGATTGAATTAGGTACCCTAGTTGTAGTGGGATGCACACACAGCTCTTTGCAAAGTTTTCCAAACTGTGATCACCAATCACAAGTTTATCCTATACTTTGAGGGTAATGATGAGGGTCTAAAACAGGGGTTCCTAACCTGGGGTCCATGAACCCCCAAGGGATCTGTGGGTAGATTTGATGGGTTCTGTGAACTTGGGAAAAATGAAATCTTTTTTCTTTACCAATTTTTGGTTTCTGTTGTAATCCTCTGTTTTATTAACATGATTCTGAGAAGGGGCCGATCGGCTTCACCAAACTGCCAAAGGGGAACCCCTGAACTGCCAGGGAACCATTTAGAACTCCAGATGAAGAATCTGAATGAAAAGCACAGAGAAGATGGGGCTAACACAAGAGCTTCCCTGGTACTTTGTCTGGACAAGTCTCTATCATGATGCATCAACATTCTGCACAACCCTCCCCAGCCTCTCAGAACCCAGGCTGTAATTGTGGTTTTGCTTCTCCTACTCCTCCTGTGGATTTGTGCCCACAAACATTTCATTGGGAAGGATGTAGTTTATTCTTGTTTGCCTCACTGTGGTCAATAGAGCTATGAATGATAGCCTCACTTCTGGCTTTGGGAACCAGCACCATTAATGGGGGACTGCCACCTCCCCACTACTCTGAGCACCAGGGCAAATGGGCTCCCCCTGCTCCAGACAGATAGCAGCCAGGCAGAGCTCCCTGTGGATGGGAAAATACTTGTCATTGTGGTGACACAAATAGGGACACAGAATTTTCCCTTCTTGACAGTGAGTAATACCATTATAGAATAAGCTTCCACTTTGGTGTTAAATGGGCAGCCTCCTCTAACTCCACCCTTTGCCCTCCTTTAACCTGACCCCACCCCCACTTCTTATGAAAGGGGCAATATGGAGTAGTGGATAAGGCACTAGATGAGAAGCTCGGAGAGCTGGGTTCAAATCCCAGTTCTGACACTTAGGAGTTGTATGACTCTGGAACAAGGCACTTCACCTCTCTATGCCTCAGCTGCCTTCTCTACAAAATAAGAGGAAAGAAGGGAGTATGGACTTCATGGTCTCTAAGATCCCTTTCAATTCTAGATGTATGATCCCACAATAACCAAAAGGCAGACCTCCCCTCCCCTTAAACATAACATACTGCTCCCAAAGCAACCCTGATTCTGAGACTGTAAACACAGATGGCAACATATTTTCTGTATACTCCAAGTACCTGTGGAAAGGGGCACCTAGGTGGCACAGTGGATGGAGCGCTGGTCCTGGAATCAGTAAGACTCATCTTTGTGAGTTCAATTCCAGCCTCAGACATTGACTAGCTGTGTGACCCTGGGCACTTAACTCTATTTGCCTCGGTTTCCTCATCTGTAAAATGAACTGCAGAAGGAAATGGCAAATCACTCCAGTATCTTTGCCAAGAAAACCCCAAATGGGGTCATGGAGAGTCAGACATGACTGGAAAAACTACTCAGCAACTCAATCTGTGGGAAATGGATCCTATTCAAAAGCCCACTTACCCCCTAGAGACTCCCTGTACCAGCTGCCGCTTCTCCTTGTCATGGCTTGCAACAATGTATGGAATAATCTTTCACTGACTTGGATTCTAAAGTGTAAGAAGGTAGGTTTTCTTACCACAACATAAGAAAGGAACAAGAGCAAAGCAGCTGCTCTCTCCTCTTTGGCTGCCAATACCCACAGACTGGAAGGAAACTTGTAAATGACTACTCCAACTCCTTTTTATTTTGGGGGAAAATAAGGCCCAGACACAGGAAATGGGTTATTGAAGTCCAGAGAGGTAATAAATGGCAGAGAAAGAATTCAAACCCAGGTCTTCAGACCCAAGGTGCTTTCCAAAGCACCTTACTGCCTCCAATTCCCCAGCTGTGAGCTTTATTCCTCTCATTTATTCAAACTATTTGTACTTAAGAACATAACAAATAGTACTCTGTCTTTTTGCTACTTGTATTTCCAAGCCATAAAAAAAATCAAAACCATTTATTCATTTTGAAATATTTAGCTTGCCAAGTTCCAAAGACAAACCCTACATGCTAACTAGAATGCACAGTTAGGTCTATCCCCTTTGAAAGGCACAGTGGTATAATGGCTAGAGTAAGGAAGACTTGGATTCACATTCGGTCTTTGACACTGACTGACTGAGTGGCCTTGGGCAGATCACTTAGACTCTTTGTTGCCTCAAACAGTTCTGTAAGATCAAGTACCAGGTAGTTGCAGATCTGCATTGGTGGAAGGAAATTCCACACTGGAAACTGTGTGTAGCTCATTAATTCATTGTGTGCTGGCTTCACTGGTGTAGTCCTGAGCACCAATGAAATCACAGGTCTGGAAGACTTCTTTCCATCCCTTATCTCCCCCCCAAAAAACTCATATAAATTAATTCGAATACAATTGTTCAACATAAGAAAACTGTCCAAGGCTGGTAGTAAAATATTTTTATGTCATGACAACTGCTGCTAATTCTGAACATAGAAAGTAAAACGTTTGCTTAAAAAAAACACACCAAGAACCATTACCTACCAGAGCCAGTAATCTGCCATCCTCCTTCATGGCAAGATAGCGATTGGCACATACTCCTTTAATGGATACCACTCCTCTCTCTTCTGCCTGAAGTTGTAGTTTAACTGGGAAAAGAGAAAAACAACAAGGGACAGTGACTGCAGGGCCACTGATACCATACATACCAATGAAATGGAAGGGATGCAGCTCCCACGTTTTACAAGAACAGCCAACTGGGGGTGACCTTTGTTTTAACCTAATCTCTGACACTAACCATCTGTGTGCCCTTTAGCAAGTGACCTCTCTCCAGGCCTTGTCTAGTTCTGACCTTTGTTTAAGGCAATTGGGATTAAATGACTTGCCCAGGGTCACACAGCTAGTAAGTATCTGAGGCAGTATTTGACCTCAGGTCCTCCTGACTCCAGGGTGGTGCTCTGTCTACTGCACCGACATTTTTTTTTCCAATTTTATGGAAATTTTTAAATGAAAGGATTCTCAGGTACAGTCATTTCCAAGATTCAGCCCTTACTGTCTTTGGACTCATTGCTAGCTATTTGTGTCTGGATGAAATACAACCAAGGGGAAATTGGCAGATGTTTAATAATTGGTTCTCTCCCCTCAAAAAAAATCTCACAGCACAATTTAACTTTAACCTGCATTAATATTTTCTCCATCAATTTCTTAAGTATAGACATCGACAAAATGACTCCAATTGTAGCCTTTGCAGATTTCTGAGGTATAAATGCTCACACAGAAAATTCAACCATTTGAGTGGGCATCAGCACACTCCTGAGTACAACTAACTAGTTCCATGATTTATTCACAGGTTGTAGTACAGAAAGAGAACTAAGAGGTGATCTAGTTTAATCTCATTTTTACCTAAGAGAGAACTGAGACCCAGAGGAAATTACTTGTCCAAGGTCACATGGCAGCAGGGCCCAAGTGCAAATCAGGGGTTTCAACTTCAAATAATCCTGTGTTCTCTCAACTACCCTACCTTGACTCTCCTTAAAACAGGCATTCTTAACCTTTGGGACCCAGACCCCTTTGACTGATGAAATCTCTGGACACCTTTTCCGAATGTTTTTAAATGTATAAAATAAAATGCAGATTATTACAAAGGAAACCAATTATGTCATATTTTTAGAATGACAAGCTTCAGGACTTCTAGGCTAAGAAGGCTAGCCTTAGACATTGATTTGGCTTCTGACTTCCTTCTCCATTCACCTCCTCTCTTCCCCTCATCTGACTTCAGCCTCACAGTTGTAAAAGGCGTTTGGTGCCTAATTCCTTTCCTTGCTTATTGATTGCCCTATTTGACCCAGCAGCCGAAGTGCCTTCTGGAGCAGGGCAGTGGAGAGCAGGGATTGCAGACAGATAGGAAGTCTACCTAGGACTGTGTCAGCACCTGAAAAAACATAAGTTCCTTGTCTTCATCTCGAAGGAGGGGGAAACCGAAATCTCACAAGAGGCGAGAAGTGAGCACCAGGCTTAGGAGAGAATATTGTGGAAGTACAACCAAGACACAAAGAGACAAGAGGTACTTCTGGGGATCACTAGACCACTGCTGCTGCAGCTGTACCCAGGAGGGAGAGGGGGAGACACAGAGAGAGAGAGAGACAGAGAAAGACAGAGAGACAGACAGAGGCAGAGAGAGACAGAGAGACAGAGACAGACAGACAGAGAGAGACAGAGACAGACAGACAGATAGATGGAAATAGATACATCACATGCAGCTGATGAAGAAAAAACTAGAGATTCCATCTCTGTCCTCTCCTTCCTGGGGAGTATCCATACAAAGTTTATCTGGTAACTTGTAGTTTCTATTTTACATTGCTGCTCATTTATTCTCTAGAAACAGATACAAAGGTAAAACTCATTATTCCACAAGGCATTATTGGTCTGAAAGTATTTTGTTTGCTTAGGGCACTTGAAAGGGAAAGGGGAAGCTGCAGTTAGCTACACAGAGAGCTTGAAGGATGTGCCTGCTCAGGCTTGGGCACTTTCTCTCTCTCTCTCTCTCCCTCTCTCCGTCTCTCTGTCTCTCCCACCAGCCAACCATTGCTGGGGGTTCTGTTTTTGTGAGGTTCCTGAGCAAGAATAAATGTTACATTTTTAAATAAAATTTTATTGGAACATAGAAACTACAGATATAATTGGTTGCCTTTGCAATCTGATTTATTTTGCCTTATGCATTTAAAAGCATTATTCTAAGAAGGGATGACCATAGGCTTCACCAGATTTCCAAAGGTGTCCATGACACACACATGACAATAAGTCTAAGGCTAGCCCACAAAATCTCACTTGTGATATTAATTGTATTAAAACATCACACCACTATGTACCACATTTCTTTAAGAAAAAAAACTAATACATTGTTCTTAACCACATAATGATTTCAAGAAGTCACCAATAAAATGTTGATTGAACAAAACAAAGATTAAAATCCTCAATAAAACCATTCAAATCCAAAGTGTTCACATTTCGATCAAAGACATTTAAATGTTAATAAAAATATTAGCAAGGTCAACTTATTAACATTTGCTCTGAGTCCCCTCGGATCTCTCTTCTGTTTGTGCGCTGGTGTGTTTATTCACAGGCAATATTCACAAAGCCAACTGACATCATTTCAGGGCTCAGGCTTCTTGAGGCTCTGCCAGCAACACGTAAACTCTAGACGGTTCTACTGGGGAAGGCGGGGCTCTCAGAATGGTCCCTACACCAGACTGTCTACTTTCTGTGGGCCAGACTAGCTCTGTATGGGCTTATTGGCAATGAAATCTTTGGCTACAGCAATGTGAGAAAAGGAGAGGAAGGAGGAAGGGGAGGAGAGGGAGAAGGAGAGGGAGAGAGACAAAGAGATAGGGAGACAGAACACAGAATGGTCCTCAGTTCTGTCCTGCCCCTTCCACTTCTGAAGGGACCATGGCCAAGTATTAGAAGAGAGGGTTAAGACGCACATTATTTTTGGCTTCCCTATCAACGTTAATTTAAATGTGACTGGAGGAACTGAATCATACCATTCTTGACATTCCTGATATATAATGAAACCCGGAGAAAGAGACGAAAGTTGTCGTTAAATGGAAAGGTTTTTCTTAGTGAAGCAGAGATAATTTTAACAAGCATCCACACAGTAAGTCAATGACCATTTATTAAGCACCTACTATGTGCCTGGTACTATACTAAGTGCTGGGAATACAGAGAAAGGGACATTGTCCCTGCCTTCAAGAAATTCATGGTTTAATGAGAGATATTATATAACATTACTATGTACATACAAGATATATATATCATGTAAATGGGAGATAATTTTAAAGAGAAGGCACTTAAGTGGGGCAGAGGGGAAGGAGAAAAGGCTTCCTATCCTGAGATTTGAGCCAAGTCCTGAAGGATGATGCCAGGGAAGCCAGAAGGTGGAAATGAGGAGAGAGAGAGAGAGAGAGAGAGAGAGAGAGAGAGAGAGAGAGAGAGAGAGAGAGAGAGGGAGAGACAGAGAGAGAGACAGAGAGAGAGTGAGAGTGCAAGAGAATAATAAGAAGAAAGAAGGAAAGGAAGGAAGAAAGGAAGGAAAAAAGAAAGAATAAGTTGAGGAGGGAGAGAAGAAGAAAGAGAGAGAGAGAGAGAGAGAGGGTCAAACAGGTAGGAGCGGAATCAGAAAAGAGCAATGTCACTAAAGCCTGGAGAAGAGAAAATATCCAGGAGAGGCTGCAGAGAAGGCAAGAAGGATGAGGATTAGCAAAGACAAGAATAACTTCATTGGACATTTGGTTATTTTATATTGCAGTGCTCCGAAGAAGCATTAAAAAACCAGCCAACATTTCCATGAAGCTAAATGTAGCCCGTGTGCCAACTTTTGTTGTAGAGACCAAAGAGGTAGAGAAATTTTTACAAAATATTGGGTCAAGTGAATCAACATATACTCAGTACCTGATGGCTTCATTGATGGTGAAGGGATGGCAAAAAAAAGATGACGGAGGATTAAGAAAAGGCTTAGAGACCGGAGGGAAGCCTCATCTCCCCATATCAGGAATACGTTCTTCCAGGAAGGAGTTGGAGGTACTAGATATGGCCCTACTTATTAGCAGACAGGAAATGATTGGTTGCCAATGTGACAGTTATTTCTGAATTATCAGGACTTGGTAGAGCAAAGGTCAAAATCAATACATCAGAAAAATAAAAAAGGAAAGGGTATCATGCATGGTTGAGGCAACCCTAACACGGCTTATTAAACAAGTATTGACACTGAAAAATGGGAAATGGGGAAAAGACCAAACATGAACTAAAACAGGCTAGCATTATTTCCTAAGGAAGCTTAACTTATGTAAATCAATCACAACAAAAAAAGAACAAAAGAGCCAGGAGCCACTTCAGCCAATAAACATTTGATATTCTTATCAAATATTGACACTTGATATTAATGTCAATTTGATATTGCTATTCTTGTGTATTCTTTGATAACGGGAAGGCTAGCACTTGAGAGAGGATTGATGTTTTCTTTGTTGTGTATGTAAGAATTAGCTAAGCTAGCTTCTGTTATTACAGGACCCTTAGAGGTGGGGACCCTACTTTTCTACCCTACATTTTGAAAACCCCCTCCTTACCTTCTAATCCTTCCCATTCATCTCAAACCTATCCCAACCAAATCCTTATCCTGCTCTTCCTCCCCCATTCTTTGTGCCCTCTGGAAACCCTATTCTATTGTTTCTTCATCTTAAATCTCTACTTCTCTTGTTCTTTCCATCTTCTTACACATGGAAGCCTGGCTACCCCCAGAAGGCACTGCATCTTCTTCATGCCTCCCCGAATGCTGGGCATAGAGTAGACATACTCCTTGCTCCTCACTACCAACACTTCTAGACCAACTCTCTGCTTTCTATGATGCTTAGATCACCTTTTTTGGATATTGGTGGCAGCCATCTACCAGATAATTCCCTTCATTTCTCAAGGAGTTCAGTGCCTTTCTCACAGGTTTTCCCCTCCTCTCAGCCCCTGTCCCCACACTTGGGGGTCTTCAATATGTATACTGTTGTCCCTTCAAACTTTCTGGTCTCATTCAGTTCCCATGACCTATACCATCATTCTATCACAACCACACACAAGGATGCCCCTTAGATTGTGAGCTCCA